CTGGCTTTTATGCGCTTTTGCTCATATGCAAAAACACATATTGTGACGACCCCAGTGTGTGTGTGTCTGTCCGGGTATTTCAACTCAGCACCCAAGCAAGCTCCGGCGCCAAAATTTTGCGAGTGGGTTCCTCGGCCAAGTGCCACCTCAGGACCGCGGTACCAATCCTCAAGCCCGTCTAGTCCCCGCCTACGAGCGCCTCAAAGTTTTGGTGGGAAAACCGCTAACCTGGGAACCAGAAAGGATAGAAAGCTGAAATTTTGGGATTATGTTCCCCGTCCATATAGAACTCAAACATTTTAAATTCAGCCCCCAGGCATGCGCGTTTCCCGCGTACGACCCCGTGAGGGTTCCTGGCGCAAAAATCGCTAGCTCGGGAACTAAGAAAGCTGGGAGGCTGAAACTTTTAGGAAATGTTCCCAACTCATCTACAACTTAAATTTATCGAATTCAGCCTTCCGTTATGCGTGTTTGCCACGTACGGTTGCGTGAAAATTTTTTGGCTGCAATTAGGGTAACTCGGGAACTGAGAAATCTGCGAACCTGGGATTTCAAGGAAATGTTGCCTGTCCAAGTACAACGTGGATAACTAACTTCCCGAAATTCGAGGACCAGTGCGTACAAGAGGTTTCTAGCTAGCAGAATTTCGAGTGATCTTATTACAGCACGAAACAGTGCAAAAACGCATGATCGCACGGGCCCGCCCAGTGCGTGTAGCCAATGATTTTCTCTTCCTTACTGAATGCGTGCTTTACAGAGAAGAGGGAGTTATTGTACATGGAAAGAAACATATATCGAAATTGGATTTGTCCGGCCTAGTCTGAATTTTGTTAGCTTTTGCTAAAACGTAGACATGCCGTGAAATCCGCAACACTTACTCCGACCAGAATGAACCGAGGCGAGTCCGGCCATGTTTTAGCAGTTGACAACTTGTGATGTACACGATATTGCAATCGCAGTGGGAAATCCCTTTACTATTCTTTCAGTGCACGGATCCCTCCACTGCAGCAATTTCCCAAACGGTATATCGTGGGGTGGGAAGTGTGTTCACTCAAATTTAAGTAGGAAGTGTGTTCACTTAAGCTGAAGGGCAGATCGGCCGATATGAATATACTTCCACTTGAGAGCCCCTCCCCACCTCACATCCACTGTCACATACAATTGACCGACTTCGTATACGTGGTCCTTTTCAAAGACGAAGTAGTGGAAGTGTTTAGCTTCCAGAACAAACCTTTTTGTATTTTTTTATTCCAGACATATTGCACTTCTCTAGGAACATCAAATTTTGTTCG